GACTCTCAGAACCACTGACACAGGACAGGGTTTATAAGGCGAAAATTTAGGGTGTATTAAGCATTGTCTAGGTATAAGAGCCGACACCAAGCCGACTCTCGGAAGCACTGGCACAGGAATCAGAATTTTTCTTACCTTGAGGATCTAGGGGTAGGGTCTACGGTCTTATTTACTTGGGGCAAAAATTCTGGTTGTTTTAAGCATGATTTAGGTATTAGGGGTTGAGAGCCGACTCTCGGAAGCACTGGCACAGGAATCAGTATTTTTCTTACCTTGAGGAGGATTTGAATCCATCTCGTTACCTACTGAGCTATTAAGGGTCTAGCTAGGGTCTAGGTTATTATTCTTTGGGGCGAAAATTCGGGGTGTTTTAAGCATGGTTTAGGTATTAGGGAACGAGAGACGATATCGGGCCGACTCTCGGAAGCACTGGCACAGGTATCAGAATTGTTCTCATTTTTCAGGCAAGGGTGTCTAAGTGATGCTTATTTTTAGAACTGTGTTCAACAGACTGTACACTTTAAATATCCCTCGACAGTGGGAAATCGAAAAAGAGTATTCGAATGCCACTGTAGGGGCAAAATTTCCCTCATTGCACACTGCATAGAGTTGCCGTCCTCAGTAGCTTAATTAGGTGATGGTGTTGCCCATCTTCATAAACCACGTGTGCTACAGGCTGTGAATGTTAAGGATCCCTCGACAGTTGGAAATCGAAAAAGAGTATTCTTATGCTGCTGTCCTGGCAAAATTTCCCTCATTGCACACTGCATGGTGTTGCCCATGCTCAGTAGACCAGTTATCTTTTTACGACATCCTAGTTGAGAGACGATGTCCAATGTTTTTTAAATTCAGACTCGGCGTTTACTTAAAGAATTTTACCTGCATGTTAAATTTTAAGCAAACATCAAATCGACACTAAAAGCTTGACAGTTAAGTTTATTTGTTACAAGTTTTCTTTTCTACCGATTTTACACGTTTGATACACGTTACCATTTCATCAGATCTTCCACAGTTCTTGTATATATCTATTCGTAGCTAATCTTATATATCCATTTGTATCTATCCATCTATTTGCATCTATTCTTTCGTATCTATTTGTCTCTATCCATTCGTATCTATTTGTCTCTATCCACTCATATCTATTTGTATCTATACATTCGTATCTATTTGTCTCTATCCTTTCGTAACTATTCGTATATATCCATTCGTATCTATCCTTCCATATCTATTTGTATCCATCCTTTCGTATCTATTTGTATCTATCTAATCGTATCTATCCTTTTGTAAGTTATATTCGTATGTAACCATTTGTATCTACTTGTATCTCTTCATTCGCATCTTTTTATTTATATCTATTTGTATCTTTTCATTCGAATTTATATATTCGTAGCAAATAGTAGCTATCCAGATTTATCTATTTGTATTTATCCTTTCGTATCTATCCAGTTGTACCTATTTGTATCTATCAATGTGCATCTATCCTTTCGTAGTTATTCGTATGTATCCATTTGTATAAATCAAGTTGTACCTATTTGTATCTGTTCATCCTTACCTAATTATAATTATCCTTTAGTATCTATTCGTATCTATTTGTATCTATTCTTTCGTATCTTTCATTTCGTAACTATTTGTATGTATCCATTCGTATCTATTTGTATCTATCAAGTTGTACCTATTTGTATCTGTACATCCTTACCTATTTATACCTATCTTTTTGTTTTTGTATCTATTCTTTCGTATCTATTTGTATCTATCCATTTGTATCTATGATACAGAGCGCTAGGCCTTCGTCATCCTTTTCTACATCGTATTTGGCGAATGAAGACCCTGCAGTGTACAGTGAGGGAAACTTTGCCAAGGCAGTGCCATTAGCCAAAGCTCAAGATGGATCTTCTACGTTCACAGTCTGTAGACTGCGTCCTGGGTGTAAGGAATTGGTGCTTTGCGCTTTTTAAAATCCACACCCCCACCCCCTACGCCCACGCCGCCCTACTTCCCTGCCCCTCGTACACACACTCACAAGACATTAACAAAGCGTGTTCAGGGTCTATTACTGTGAATGACTAAGTGACACAAATGACATGAAAAAAAACAGAAACATGATCTACCATGACAACGAAGTTGACACTTTTCCGCTGTAGTAGAAAGAAAAGCCACCCTGACATTTTAGGAAAACTTTTGGTCATAACTGTTACCCATAAAACAATAACTACTGTAAAGGGACAGTGTACACAATTTTTTTTGTCAAAAACGTCGTAAATTATACCTGAAAATATTTTTAAGAAACTTTCAGATAAGTGGAAGGTTTTCTAAATTTTTTATGTGTATCAGGGACACTGATAGCATCAATTTACATCATTCTAATATGCAATCAGACGTCTGTGGTTCCTGTAATTCCACTAAAACTAAGTGTTTGATGCCGTCACTAATATACTTTATCATATAAGGCCCTTCGGACACTTAAGTGGAATTGCAGGAACCACAGACGTCTGATAGAAAATTAGAATGATGTAAATTGATGATATCAGTGTCCCTGATACACATAAAAAATTTAGAAAACCTCTTTACAATCTCTTTAACAAGAACCACAGACGTCTGATTGAAAATTAGAATGATGTAAATTGATGCTATCAGTGTCTCTGATACACATAAAAAGTTTAGTAAAACTCTGACCAATCTCTTTAACAAGAACCACAGACGTCTGATTGAAAATTAGAATGATGTAAATTGATGCTATCAGTGTCCCTGATACACATAAAAAATTTAGTAAAACTCTTACCAATCTCTTTAACACTAAAACAAAAGTTTAAACTTAAAAGTCACGTTATTTCAACAAACAAAACCTAAAGATGAGAATCAAATACCAAAATTTAGAAAAACCACACAATATGTATAATTTTGATCTTTTGGTAAAAGTAATTAGGTTGTATATCGTGACAACTAGCAAAGAGATTAAAAACAAAGTCAATATTTGCCAGATTTGGTTTTAAGTGTTAAATACTCTCAGCGTATACTGTCCTCTAAATATTTTACAATTTTTAGCTATATGTATCACTTTTATAGTGAAAATACGACGTCAGATTCGTCTACAATTCATGTAAAATACGATACGATTTTTGTTCATTCTGGTCATCGGTAGAACTATACGTAGTAATACATGTTGCTGAAATTAGACTAGAAATTACATTAAGTTGACTCTCGTCACTGCAAAGCTTTAACGAGAACCATACGTTTGATTTTGCTTTTGAAAAGGGACACAGCTAGCTGATATTCAGCTCTATCAATGAATTGGTAAAGTTGACACTGACGTCGCATTTTGCTTTTGGTAAGGGATACAGCTAGGTGATATTGAGCTCTATCAGGCGTGCCAATGCATTGATAGTGAAGAGGAAGTCATAAGACAAGTACTGATGTTGTATTTTGCTTTTGGTAAGGGACACAGCTAGCTGATATTGAGCTCTATCAGGCGTGTCAATGAATTGATAGTGAAGAGGAAGTCATAAGACAAGTACTGATGTTGTATTTTGCTTTTGGTAAGGGACACAGCTAGGTGATATTGAGCTCTATCAGGCGTGCCAATGAATTGATAGTGAAGAGGAAGTCATAAGACAAGTACTGATGTTGTATTTTGCTTTTGGTAAGGGACACAGCTAGCTGATATTGAGCTCTATCAATGAATTGGTAAAGTTGACACTGACGTCGCATTTTGATTTTGGTAAGGGACACAGATAGCTGATATTGAGCTCTATCAGACGTGTCAATGAATCAAGAGTCAAGGGGAAGTCATTAGACAAGTACTGATGTCGTATTTTGCTTTTGATAAGGGACACAGATAGCTGATATTGAGCTCTATCAGGCGTGTCAAGAGGCAAGGGGAAGTCATAAGACAAGTACTGATGTTGTATTTTGCTTTTGGTAAGGGACACAGCTAGGTGATATTGAGCTCTATCAGGCGTGTCAAGAGTCAAAGGGAAGTCATTAGACAAGTACTGATGTTGTATTTTGCTTTTGGTAAGGGACACAGCTAGGTGATATTGAGCTCTATCAGGCGTGTCAAGAGTCAAGGGGAAGTCATTAGACAAGTACTGATGTTGTATTTTGCTTTTGGTAAGGGACACAGCTAGCTGATATTGAGCTCTATCAGACGTGTCAATGAATTGATAGTGAAGAGGAAGTCATAAGAGATAATCTGATGTTGATATTTTGATGTTTGAATAAACAGGTAACTATATTGACAGAACGACACTCGAATCCTAATTATCATCTAAACCTACATTATTCAGTGATGGGGGGAGAGAGAGAGAGAGGGGGGGGGGGGGGGGGGTGAGGGGAAGGGGCAAACCCGTGGGCAAGACCGTGACCGACTTGATTGTTCGGGGACTAAGTTAGACAGTATATCTAAGGAGGCAATGGTGTATTGTGCTTAATTGCAGTAATGGAATTGGTCGGTTGTCAGAATTTTTTTCAGGGGGGCAATCCATTTGCCACCATCCATTTGCCTCCCTTGCTCCTCTGTAGCTACAGGCCGGGAAGGGAGTCGCCTAGAGGGATGGTCAGAGATAAATGCTTAGCAGGTAGTAACTTCGGAAATGGAGTTCAACTTTCCGTCTTGGGGGCTACAATGGCTTAGTTTTGTTTCACGGAGGATAACAAGCCAAGTCCTATTTTCTAGAATAGCTTAGTCGGTAGTGAGTTGGATTGTCGTCTGCTTGGCGATTAGGTGCCGTGGGTTTTAATCCTCCACAAGGTAAAGAAAATTCTGATGCCACTGCCTTTGCTTCCGAGAGTCGATTTTCATCCCCTAATACCTTGTTTCTAGAATAGCTTAGTCGGGCTACAATGGCTTAGTTTTGTTTCACGGAGGATAACGAGTTGGATTGTCGTCTGCTAAGCGATTGGGGCTGTGGATTCGAATCCTCCTCACCTCAAGGTAGATGATGCCTGTGCCGGTGCTTCCGAGAGTTGGCTTTCACCCCCTAGTTACTAGGTTGTAAGTTTACATGGCGATTGGGTGCAGTGGGTTCGAATCCTCCTCAAGGTAAGAAAAATCCTGATGCCTGTGCCATTACTTGCGAGAGTTGGCTTTCACCCCCTAGTTCCTAAATTGGAAAAAGAAAATTCTGATTCCTGTGCCTGTGCTTCCGAGAGTCGGCTATTACCCCCTAGTTCCTAAGTTATAAGTTATAAAATGTGTGAATGACTTGACATGTGTGTCGTGTCGGGGGTTTGTTTGTTGAAGAAATTTATTGTGACATTTTGGTGAAATTCTAGGGGCATCTCTGATAAATTGCCTAATAAAATCTTTCTCGAGCATAATTAATTCCTCGATATGACGCAGACGACAACCTCTCACCCGTCAACTTGAAATATACAAGCTTGTTTTCCTTTCCATAGGCCTTCATATTTGAATAACTTAATCGTGCTGTTTAAAAAAAAAGGAAAAAGTCGTCTCAACATCCGTAACACGTTTT